CCACATACATACGAATTATCAACATCGAGTAATTATTTATCAATAATATTATTCATGCAGAATATTCATTTATCAAGTGATTCAAAAGGTAGACAAATATAACAGGCAGAACGCTCAGTGAATAAACTCACCCTTTTATAACAACAACACAACACTGCACACATTCACTGTCTTTAATACACTGCCCTGATTAAGTTTAAGACACAGGGAACGGGATAGTTAAAACTATATAGTATATGTATGTATTTACAAGACATTCCCATAGCTACATAAGTAGTCTAGGGACGGAGCGAGCTCATGAGAAGTGTTATTCTAGTCTAAACAAATAAGTCCTTGAAATATTTTCGAACATACTGCCCTTGGTTGGCTTTTATTTTAGGGTGTATTTGAAATATTATATATCGAAATAATCTGAGTTCTTACATTCGGCCATCCTGTTCATCTCCTCGTCCCGAGGGGATCCTACTCTTCGGTGTCTGATTCTTCAGTGGAACTGAGATCTACTCCATCTCCTCCGCTCTCACTGGCTGTGTCGTCAGAAACTCCTCCTGGTGTGACCCATGGTTTAATTCTGCCCACGGCAACGACTTTTTCATATTTGATAGATTTTAGGGTTCTGTGTGAATTGGGCATGTCAACCACCAAATATCTATCGTTTGGGAGAACGGCTTTAACTACCATTGGACCAGCGTAAGGGGTAATCATTTTACGGCTTGTTCCTTCAGCTGTTCCTTGTTTTGCAATGAGTACTAAGTCACCANGCAAGTACCTGCGCGACCGCTCGCCAGCTTCCTTCGTCAGACCTGTACCTACCTATTTACTTTAGCCACACGCGCCCAAGTATTATTTAAAATAAGATGAACATTGGGCCATATATATAACACTCCCATATTGCTAGTTCCCGTAAGCGGAAGTGTCACGGAGTAAGTGAGACAACAAACGATTACTTCTGTCTCTTTTTAGATTACTCGACCCGTTGTGCGCAATCGTCACGAGTCTGGTGGGGTAAATGATGCGCGCTTATAGGCATGTTCAACTGTAGTAGTAGTTACGAGAGAGACAGACGCATATATGTCTGCACCGTTGGATCGTCATCTTTTTCTAGACCCCTACTAGCAATATAGTTGCATGCATTGGGCAATCTACATCCTAAAATTTATACTACGATTTAACCTTTAACAGATGTACAATATGAAAGGAAAATAAGCAAATATGTGTCCGTGTTTGGGTAAACTAGGATTGTATTCCCATGTTAATAATAATATAATACTTCTTTTCAAACTTGTTATTATTATTATCGTTCTGGCAACTCTGACTACATGCTAGGTATATTTCTTCTATTATGCCCTTCTACGATCTTACTACTTTTCTTATCTATGCTACTTTCTCCAACGCTTAAACTGTAAATAACCTAAATGACTGCCGCAATCTGAACCTTCTTATACAGACTGTTGTATCTATTTCATAACTGTAAATAATCAAAATGCTTCCAAATAAAATACCTATTTAGCGAGTACAAAGTTCAAAGTTAAACATCTATTTATTATTCGTTTCTGAATTTTGACTTACATTGCTGAAATCTTGGCAGAGATTAAAGTATAAAATTTTAAAATGCCTATGTTCAGAAGTTCGTTGTTAAAATTAAGTAAGTATACCGTAATATTGATATGTCTAAATCAACTGTGGTGTAAAAATATGTAGACATGACTTATTCAAAGCTAAGATATAAAATATTTTGAATTCAAGATTCTTTTTTTGTAGCCTCCTTCACAAAACGAAACATTGCCTCTCTTGCTTCATTATCGGAAACACATCAGATGCTTCAGAAGACATGTAGAGATTTTGCAGAAAATGAGCTTAAGCCACATGCAGCCAGATTTGATAGAGAACATGTATATCCACAAGAACAAATTAAAAAGATGGGAGAACTTGGTCTCATGGCTATTGCAATACCTGAAAAGGATGGTGGTACTGGACTCGATTATTTAGCATATTCAATAGCCATGGAAGAAATTTCAAGAGGGTAAGATCAATATAAAATGTTTATCATTAACAAATGACATTCAAATTAAAGTGTATTCATTTTTTTGTGTCACAGTTTTTTTTATAAATAATGTAAATGTTTTTCATACAACCTTTAGGATTTGCATTAATTGTAAATACATTACTTTTCTAAATAACAAATATATTTAAACTGTATGCAAAACTACATTCCAAAATAGTAATAAGTTACACTTAAACAGTTTTCTATAAAAACATGGATTTAATGCTTATGAATTAATTGCAGGTGTGCAAGTGCTGGTGTAATTATGTCAGTTAATAATTCCTTGTATTTAGGACCTCTTGAAAAATGGGCAACTACTGAACAAAAAGAAAAATATTTAAGGCCATATACAACAGGTCAAAAGGTAAAAATGATTAATTTTAATACAAAATGTTAACTGTCATTTACTGTTGGCATCTACGATCTACTATTAATTGGTATAATTGATGTTATTTAGACATTTGTAAATTTCAATGATTCATCTGTCCTGTCCAATCAAACCAATGCAATTGGCAAATGAGAGCAAACGCTTCACCAGGGGATGAAATTTTGACACCCTAACTTGTGATTCTAAACTAATCCGTTAAAAAAGAAATTCATAGAAATAAATAAATAAAAAAAAAAGAAATACCACATCCACCTCAAAACGAACTCGGGCCCTGTGGCGTACAAGTTTACCGTTCGCATATATTATTTATACCCAAAACTTTATTTTTCTTCGTAAAACTATAACAAAACAAATTGTGGTATAAAAACTAACAGAAAATGTAGAAAACACACAAAGGTAGTTTTTCACGCGTAGTTTCAGAAATTCCAGCTGGGTCGTTATGGACTTATTGGGCAAATGTGAATGTATATGTAGATATATAAAAAAATGTTCCTATTCAAAGGTTTTTATTGCAAATTAGAATTAGTTATTGATTATGGTACAGGAAGAAACATTTATCATGCAGGGACACTACACTTTTTACAAGCTTTTGTCAATTTGTAGTAACTTCTCTTCTTTGCTACTTGTAATGGGCCTGCCCTTCTTTCATCGCCACCTTCCTGACCTATTTCCTCATCTACAAAGTTGGGTTCAGCTTCTGTCTGGAGTTGTCTAGGGTTTAGTCTGTTTGGATCGTTATAGTCTTCGTCACTTTCAAAATCATGATTTAGTTGGAGTGATATATATGCTGTCTGGAACTAAATCATCTTCATCTCATCTCCTAACCTTTCAATTTCTTCAAGCAATTCCGACGTAGTCAAACAAGCTCAACGAGTCTATTGGGCCTGTAGCCCAAGCGATTTCAATCTAGTTTGTAGACCAGTTTTTATGCTATAATAAAATTCCACGTATATCAGGAACAAGAAACGAGTTATGTACAAAAAAATGTTATTGCTTTTACTGTAATATAAGTATAGGGTACTTACTAGTATTTTTTGGTATCCATTGCAAACAACGAAGTGAAGAACTGGTTTCTAAAGAAAGTATATCTGCACTCTGTTATCACCACACCACAAACCGTAATAATTACAAGATTAATATCCAGTAAATGGGATCGTTGATTCTGAAACCACCTGAACCCTTGTATCAAACCTGTAGCCTAATATAATGAGCGTGGGTCGTTAACGACCCGTTGGGCATAAATAAGGGGTTGCGATTCTAAACAAATCTATCAAAAAATAAATTATTTATATTCAAATAAATTTAAAAATGAGAAACCACATCGGACTCGCGGTGTACAAGTTGAGAGTCTATACCATTCGGCCAGCATTGCTTCTTACAAACCATTTAAGTGTGACGGACTGTATTCAATACAGCGTATTGTCATGTTTAGACCTCTGAAATAGCCTCATTCTAATGGATTTATTTATTAATGGATGGATTTTGTTTAATTTGAACTGAATAGGTTTTACAATAGGAAAGCTGATAATACACAATACAGTATGATTTCACAGAATAATGGTTTGTTTATTAAATTTTAATTGATTCAATGGTTCTTCTTCATCGGTAGACAGTAGTTGACTTTTTGAATAAATTTACGGTGAAAGAAAATTATAGTTAAAATTTTCTTGAACCATATTAATCAAATTTACATAATAATTAGAGATATGGTGGGCTAATGACAAATAATGATCTTTATTTTCAATTATTTTCTTTTGGTTTTCAAAAATTTTATACATGTTTGATTTTATTGATCCGAATAGGGGTTGACAAATAATGAATCTATGTCAAAATCATCGTCTTCTTCAAGGGCGTTTATTTCCATGCTACAAGATTTTCTTTTCCTTTTATGTGTTTAACTTCAAAATTGTATTCAGAAAGTTTAATTTTCCAGCGGGTAAGTCGACTATTGGGTTCTTTAAGGTTTCGTAGCCATGATAAGGGCATGTAAATAGGGTGAATTTTCTACCATAGATGTAGGGCCTGAAATGTCTACTACAGCTAATAATTCTTTTTTTGTAGTACTGTAATTTCTTACTGCAGTTTTAAGGGTATGAAAATGGAAAGCGATGGGGTGTACTTCTTGGGAAATAACTGAACCTGTCGCTTTATCACTAGCGTCGTTGGTAATAGAAAAATGTTAAAAAGTCCAGATAAGGTAAAACGTGAGCGTTTGTGATTAATTCTTTAATTTTGTTGATTACTTCTAAATTTGAGGAGTCTTTAACATTAATTGATATAGGTATTTTTGGAATATTTTTTTTATAAATTTACGGTAGTAGCCGCTTAAGTCTAAAAATGATTTGGGTTCTTTTACTGTTTTTGGTACGGGAATTTTTTTTGATGGAAGTAATTTTGTCTGGATTTGGTTTTTCTTCCTTTGGTAGTGATTACGTGTCCTAAAAATGGAACTTCTTTTCTCAAAAATTCAGATTTGACTAATGATGCTTTCAAATTTACGTCTTTCAGTTTTTGAAAAGCTTGTTTTAGATGCACTATATGTTCGTGTAAAAATTTGAAAATTTGACAATGTCGTCCATGTAAACAAATGCAAATTTGTACAAAAAGTCAGGTAGTACAGTGTCCATCATCCGTTGGAATGTAGCGGATGCGTTTTTGAGTCGTTGTTTTGTTCAACATTTGTTAATTTTGCAACAACGAAATTAGACCGTTGCTGATTTTGGACATTTTCAGGTCTTTGATTTTGAGAATTATTTGGTCGTCTAAATTGGGAAATAGTTTTCATAGAAACGTCGCCAGTGTTTGAAAGTCGTTGATATTATTTTGATGTGTATTCCTCGATTGTTGTTAGGCGCAATCAAAGGTCTGAAGGGAGTATTCCTGTTTAATAAAGGAAATTGTTGTATAGGAATTTGTTGAAAGGTTTGGGGGTTGGTAATATTGAGTAGGATTATGGAAGCAGAAGTAAAAACACAAGTTAAATGTGTAAACTCAAAATTATATTTTTATTTCGTCTGATATGTTGAAGAGTTCGAAAGCAACTAACTACATTTGGTGTGTTTTACAAAAACATAATTAATGTAGCACGCAGGAAAACATTCGATAACAGTTGTTCTTAAACATACTGCGTCGCCACAAACTGACGCTGATCCTGTCGATATACAATAAATTTTCTCCTTAGACTAAACAAGAAGCGAATACAATTTTTGTACAGTGACATGTATGACGTATATTGTATTATATGTCTGAATCCAACACACCCCCTCAAAAATTTATGAGCTTACACTTTTATTTATTTCAATTCATCTTACTTTATGTTAATATTTATGGGAAGGTTAACAATAACTAGTCCAACATTTGTTGCGAGGGTTAGGGAAAAAACCCACCAAAAACCTAACCAGACTTTAACAACTAGATTACTATTATTTAGCGTTTTGGGTATGTTTAATAAATAAAAACACAAATAAAACACTAAGATATAACAATAACTTGAATTTATGTACACGCAACAAAAACCATGAATGAAAAAAGAAATATACAACAGACAAAAAACGTAAAAGTTGAAAAGACACAAGAACACAACAAGACACAAAAATATATACAAAAACAATGAAAACAGACAGACAATTAACAATAAAGAAATGTTGTAGACTTACTCGAATGTTGACAGCAGAGTGGTTAGTTAGTATGGAAATTTAGGGGTTTATATACAGCTGAATTGTTAGTAAAAAGAGATAGAATATTCAAGAAGGAACAGTATGAACAGTAAAGTTGAAGGTACAGGTTTATAGCACTCAGAGCGAGCAATATAGAATTTTAGGAAAAGTAATTAAGGGAAAGTACAGCAATTAGTAAGGGGTGCATGCAAGTACAGGTGAAGATGAAATTCTAGGTAAAGGCTAACGATAGTAGAACAATAGAATCTAGGTTGAAAGGAAACAAAGGCATGCACAAGATAAGAAGTTGTAAGTCTACAAATAGATTTAGAAGAATATT